GGGAAGACATAGGGAGAAGGCAAAAGCGACGGAAGATCCTTCAGGGGAAACTGAGGGGGAGACTCACCCTTGGTCCGGATGAGCCCCCTTCCCCGCCCCTAAGGAAGCAGAGGCAGCCAGCAAGGGCAGGCAAGCCCCGCTTTGTGGACTCCGTCCATCCTCGCCCCCACCCACCTACCCAAAGCCACAAAGTCCCCCAATCGCGCAGCCCAGAATCGCCCTCCCCTCAGGGGGCAGCAACGACGCCCGGTGTTTCCTGAAACAAGAAGCTCTGCCGTGCAATGAAAGCGCCCTGGCTCTAGGCTCAAAAAACAACGCGAGCCGAGGTGGCTTCGTTTCCTCAGCCCTAGCTGCTTTCAGTCCGCTCGGGAGGAGGGGGCGGCAGCGGCTCGCATTGTTTTCTGCAATCGCGAGCCTAGAGCTCAGAAAATAACACGAGCAGGGAAGCGGCTGCCCAGCTCTGGAGCTCCACACCATTTTTTTTTTCAGAGGGAATCTCACTTGAGTATAAGCTGAGGGGTTTTTTTTCAGCACAAAAAATGTGCTGAAAAACTCGGCTTATACTTGAGTCAATAAGTTTTCCCAGTTTTTTGTGGCAAAATTAGGTGCCTCGGCTTATATTTGGGTCGACTTATACTCGAGTATATACGGTAATTATGGTTTTCTGCCTTTCTGAAGGAATACAGGAAACATTATTCTAAATCCTAAAATAGGCAAATTACTATTAAAACACGAAAACAGGCAAATCGCCATTAAAACTACCTTCCATATTCTATCATATCCACATGTATGGTACATTACTCTCTTTGCAACCTTCAGTTCTCTCCAAAGTGTTAATTGTGGCCCATGGCACCAAAAATAGCCTATTCTGATCTATATGGAGAAGTACAAAGGGAGCAGTACTCAAGCAAACTTATGAACTTTGATGGACGTTGTCCCTTATATTTTATCAATACAAATTTATCAAGAGGGGATTTAACGAACAAAATAATGAAAAAAGAACATTAGCATTAATGGTAACAATGTTTGGAAAAGAATGACCACATCCTAAGCATATAGACCATGAGAAATGTTTGTATTTCTTAATTCTGGTTTCACTTACTTTTGATTCTTGAGCTGCATCAATTTTCTGAAAAAGAAAAAAAGTGAATTATTTAATGAAACATAGCTTGGTTTCTCAGTATTACAGTACCTCCTAATTTTTTTTTTTATGGGAGCCAATCAGGATATTTACAAAGCTATATTTCCAATTTTAGTAATCAAATGCATATTTAAATGAGATGGACAAATGTCACCAAGATTAATTATCTTCAGTCCTGAGGTTTAAACAGCAATTCTGTCAGAATCTGCAGTTCTATAAAAGAATGTTAAGTGTTACTTTGTTTGTTTTACATTAATAATGCAGTAATGCATGAGGGAAGCAAATCTGTGATTGGCAACATAGTGCTGTGAAAGCATTCCATAAAGCCAACAACCTGTAGGAGTGCATAAATGATCAAATTACATTGTTCTTTTTCAAAATGATAAATTGCTGTGAGCAATCCATGAATGATAACAAAGAAAAATATTCAACCAGATGAATCTCAAATCTTTCTTATACATACAGACTACTATTTCAGAATAACCACTGAATTCGATTAGGACATATTCTGGATATTGGAGCCTTATCCCCTTCCTTTTGGAATATATATCATTCAGAAGACTTCTCTATAAGAGAACCTATACAATTCACAATACATAATCTGATGCTTTTATTACTCTTGCAAGTAACTCAGGTTCAAATAGTTAATGTAGTCCCATTAACAATCAATCTCCTCTCATTCTGAATATGCCAAGAATTAAGGATAGTTAGTCCCTTTTATACATAAGGTCCAAATTTCAACATTTACTGATTAACTGCAGGACTTATTTTAAAAGGTAAAATAAAAACAATAAGCTACACATGAAAATGGGGTCTCTGTGGATTTTTAAAATAATTCTTGAGTCTTTATAAATCAATTTCACTCTTCAAAGGCTAGGGGATGCTTTCTGCCACAAGGATCAAATTCTTTTGATTCTACTTCACATCATGATTTAACCATTAGCAATGGTGTTGTCATATTTTTGCCATTCCTGAAATTTGAGACTATCTAGCTCTTATTAGTCAGTGGTAAGACTCTTACCGCACATCTGTATTTATTAACATTTTGCTGTAGTGTATTTAGAAGGAAACTAAAAATTTTATCCATATTTTGGGAAAGAGTTTGCTGGATATCCCGTCGTCGTTGAGCTGGTAATGTCTGGAAAGTAACCACGTCCTCTGCCAGACGCAGAAGTATGAACATTACTAACTCTGTCTGAGTTTCCTAGAGTGAAAAGCAAAACAAAATAAGGGAACAATTCCCATTGTCATGGGAATAACATTTAATTTTCAGAAGGTTACTATGGATTATGCTAAAGGACTGTGCACATAATCAGATGCAATAAACTCAAATAAAATTATCTCCTAGAGCAGGATTGAAGTCTCCATGGCATTCCCAACATTCCTAACCTATACTACTGACCATCATTATTAAAGGATAACAAAAATTAATATTAGAAATGGGATATAAATTTTACAAGGTCGATATTCTCACATGAGATGGAACAGAATAGAATTCTTTATTGGCCAAGTGTGATTGGACATACAAAGAATTTGTCTTTGGTGCACCCAGTGTACATAAAAAGGAAATACATAATCAAGAATCATAAGATCTATATTTTTCATTATAGTTTTGCTTTTACAAATGTATTGTTCGACATAACCTTGCCGAAAATAATAAAATTGTACTCATGCCCTGTAGTGTGGCAATCTGTCCTATAAAAACAAATCCAAAATGGGTATAGCAATATCATTGTAAGATGTCCTACCCCTTCTTCAGACAGCGTGTCCAGTTCCTTCAGCATATCAGGCCAGTGCTGTGGCCATTCACGTTTGATCATCTCTACCACAATGCGAGAGAGAACATCCTTAATGTGACTTTCTTCTTCTAAAATATTCTGGGTACCCTGTTTATCAAAAACTGAAATATTACAAGATGGAAGATAGTACTACTATATTATTTAATGCTCACAGACCTATCTTTAGAAATATAGTATAAATTTTTAAAGAACCCTTTAAATTAACCCATTTAAGAAACAGTCCTAGATTATTAAGAGTTTAGAATACTTTATAAAGTAGGACAAGTATAAAAACAATATTTTGATCATTTCTATATTAAATGGGACACTTTATATCCAGACAAATAGAAAAGCCAAATCTCCCAGTGTATTGTCTGCTTTACCACCCATCTGAACAATATTGTACAGACAAGTTTTATTCCTTACTTTTGAGTATTGCAATACAAACATTTTGCAATCCTTTTTATAGCTGACTAATGCAGCTTTTCATCACAATAAATATAAATACAATAGCACTTTTGTCCAGAAAATAAATTATAAGTCTATAACTAAAAGATGATTTAAACAATAACACCTTATTTTTGTGAAAAATACTGTACCATTAAAATAAGATTTAGCAGCTTAAGTTCAAGAAGAAGCAAGACTTACATTGGATATTAGTGCCATGGCACTGTTCTTCAGAAAGACTTTCTCAAGTCGACTCATGGCATTCCATCGGAATCTAACCCCCCAAAACACAGACATCAAATCTATGTTATGCTGGCTAATAAATAAACTTTCATAACATGGTAAGATAAGAGGGATATTCTGTTCTCAAGTTGTCCTATCCCACTCAACTTTCCTGTACCAAAGCAAAAGCAAATTCTTTAAAAGAATTAAAGGCAGTTCTCATTTAACAACAACAATTGAGTCTTGCTAAGCAATGCAGTCATAAAGTGCTACATCATGTGACCACATTGCTTATTAATGGCAATCCTAGCAGTCTCTATTGCTTTTGTTAAGCAAGGATCTCATGGTAACTGTGACTTCCTGGTGCCTTCCCATAAGCAAAGTCAATGGGAAAGCCAGCTGGAAATCACCAATGGGGGGGAGGGAAGGGGGGACCAGTCTGGAGGGTGGGTGAATAGTACAGAGAGAGGCGGGGATAGTGTCCTACGGCAAGTGTGTGCAAGCTATTTCATTAACACCAAAATACTGAGTATTAATTCCTGCTACGAATTGTCACCAAATCATTTTTGTTATACACTATACAAAAATGTATACTATATACTATTACCATTATAATATGATTGCATCTATTGCTATATTATAATAAGATTGATGCAAGTCTAACTTCAAGCTAAAAACATCTGGGAAATTGCAATATTGCATCAATTGGTGGAACTAAAAGTTCATACTTCACCACATGCTCCAAGATCTGAAGACCAAAATGCCTGACAATAGCAGTCTGGGATTTTTCTGCTAATTTCAATCCACAAGGAACACAAACTGGACTTTTCTCTTTAAATTCTTCACAAAACTGAAAAGGAGTAAGAATTTATTTTAAGCGCATAAGTGTATAATTTGTTCACCAAGGTAATTATAAAAAAGGCAACCAAATTCTGAGATTAAGTATTATTTTAAATCATTCCCACTATATTGTTTTGAAAATATGGGAAACAGCCTACTTATATAATTTAGGGTATGGCACTGTACAGCATATTAACTAAAAGTGATGTATCTCACACTTAGGAACACAACTTTCAGGATACTACCAGCAGGACTAGTTTGCTTTTTAATTTTCTAATTTGTGAGTCCAAATGGATTACTTTTTCCCTCTTAATTATTGGACTATTTTCCTGATGATTTCTAGGTTACATAGACACTATTCACCACTAACTGTACTATTACATTAGCTCATTGCTAGCTTTTTCTAGTTTTCTATTTTTTTAAATGTCAATTTACAATGTTTACAATATTTTAACTAAAATTAATTTGTCCCAAACTTATTTCTATACATAGTTATGGTTGATTTCTTCTATCAAACTTAAGTTTCTACATCAGATATTTTGAAGGTTCTATTGTCTTCTACATCTAAAATGTCTACATCTAAAAATGTAGCCCAACACATGCTTTGATATCACCCATATTATTCCCTTTGCCTTCCTGAGTTTTAAATCTACCTGATTAATGAAAACTTCTTGCAAGCATAAACATGTGCACTTATTTCATCAATGTTCAGTGAGACAATTAAAAACATTGCTTCCATATGGAATGTCGATCCCCCCACCCCATGGCTGACATAGTACTATTTCTGTTAGTCCTTTCTTTAAAACCTTCATATTTGCTACATGTTGTCCTGATGCTTTCACAGCCAGATCAACTCAGAGCAATATAACCAGGAGTCGAGGAAAAATGGTGCACAGCGTAGTGTGTATATTCCAGGAATATCACTGCAGGTAGGCAGCTATCTGGTCTGGTAAACCTGCAGTCAACCTTACATAAGTAGGCTATTTCCCATGTTTTCTAAACAATATACAGGTAGTCCTTGACTTACAAAAGTTCATTTAGTGACATTTCAAAGTAACAGCAGCACTGAAAAAAGTGACTTATGACCCTTTTTTCACACTTACGACTTCTCAGCATCCCCATGATCATGTGATCAAAATTTAGATCCTTGGCAACTGGTTCTTACTTATGACCGTTGCTGTGTGTCATGCGATCACATTTTGTGACCTTCTGACAAGCAAACAGGGAAACCAGATTCGCTAACTTTTCAACTTATCAACTTCAGTGATTCACTTAACAACTGTAGCAAGAAAGGTTGTACAGTGGGGCAAAACTCATTTAAAAACAGAAATGTTGGGCTCAATTGTGATCATTAAGTCGAGGACCACCTGTGATAGGAATGATTTAAAATAATACAGGTAGTCCTCGACTTACAACAGTCCATTTAGTGACCGTTCAAAGTTACAGCGGCACTGAAAAAAGTGGTTTTATGACCGTTTTTCAGACTTACAACCCTTGCAGCATCTCCATGATCCCCTGATCAAAACTCAGGGGCTGGGCAACAGACTCGTATTTATGACGGTTGCAATGTCCAGCAATCACGTGATCCCCTTTTGAGACCTCCTGACCAGCAAAGTCAATGCGGAAGCCGGATTCGCTTAACATCCGGGTTACTCATTTAACCACGACAGTGATTCACTTAACAACTGGGGCCAGAAAAATCGCAAAAGGGAGCAAAACTCCCTTAGCAAAGGTTTCACTTAACCACATAAATTGGGGATTCCGCTGTGGTCGTAAGTTGAGGACCACGCCTGTATTTTAATCTCAGAATAAGCAGCCCCATGATCGTGAGGGCGGGATGTGTCGCCCAAGAGCCGTCGAGGCCCCCAAAGCATCAATAAAGCCGAAGGGGCGAGCGAGTTCTCACGTTCTCCACCCCGAAATAACTGCTCCAAACGATGGTCAGAGGCGAGTTCACGGTAACGGCAGCGGGAAAAGGCCGGCGGCGGCCATGCCTTTCCGTCCCATTTTACTTCGGGCCGCGTGTTTGCGTGCATGCTCGAAGGGGCGTTCCCGCCCGTAACCGCTGCCGCCACGATACCTTGAGGGCCTCCAGACGGTAGCGCTGCGTGGAGGCCGGGTCCATCATCGCCGTCACCGCCTTCACCAGCTGTTCACAGAGCGTGTTCACGGGGTCCCACGACATCGTGCCTGCAAGCAAAAACTTCGGGGGGGGGAACGGGAGGGGGAGAGAGGTGGCGTTGCCCACGGCAACCAAGCACGAGGGGGGGGACCAAGAAGCAACGGCGTGCCGGGTCCACGGAGAGGAAAAAGCCGCAGTGCGCAGGCGCAGGAGATCAGCTGATCTCTTCTGAACGGCGGCCGGACAAGCTGGATCCAACTCTATGGTACGCATATAGAGTTAGAAATGTAGAATGCTTTTTCAAGAGGCAACTAGAGTTTCTGGTTTCTGGAAAAAACACTTTGAGGACAACCGTGACCTGGATGACTGAGGATTTCCCTTGAGGGACTTCGGTTCTTTCGGGTTTCCTCTCTCCCCTTTCCAAACGTTCGATTTTCTTTTTCTTCAGAGAAAGTCACAGAATAGAATAGAATTCTTTATTGGCCAAGTGTGATTGGACACAAGGAATTTGTCTTGGTGCAAATGCTCACAGTGTACATAAAAGAAAGTCATTCTACAAAGGCCAACCTGCAACAGGGAATATTCAGAAGTATATTCTTATGGGTGAAACGACTTTCAGCTTTTTTTAAAAAATGGACCTAGGCTTCACAGGATTGAGTCTCGGTTTTAGTTTCATGGGTGAATGGGGTCTGGATGGAGGAATAATGTATTGTCCGGGAATCACAATAGTCAAGTTTCTTAAGCGTCTTAGGGTAGCGGGGCAAGAAATCCGGGGGAGTGATACCCTTTCTGATTAAACCATTTTATGAAATGATATTAGCTTTTGGTTAGAGTTGTGCTTCAAGATTTAGCAACCCTAGGCTAGACAACATGATTTCCTTATGTTTTTTATTTTATTTATTTATTTTGTCAAGCGATTATAAGATAACAGGTATAAGAATAAATATAGTTATGAATACATGAAATTGATACATATAAGAAAAAGAAAAAAGAAACAATAGGACAGGGACGGTAGGCACGTTATGCATGCCCCTATGCATGATCTCTCAGGAAAGGGGCGAGGTCAATAGTAGACAGTCTAAGGTTAAAGTTTTTGGGGTTTGGGGAAGAAACCACAGAGTCAGGTAGAGTATTCCAGACATTGACCACTCTGTTGCTGAAGTCGTATTTCCTGCAATCAAGTTTGGTGCGGTTAACCTTGAGTTTGTATCTATTGTGTGCTCTTGTATTGTTATGGCTGAAGCTGAAGTATTCATTGACAGGTAGGACATTGCAATGTATAATTTTATATACTTTACTTAGATCAGACCGAAGGCAGTGTAGTTCTAGATTTTCTAGGTCTAAAATTTTGAATCTGGTGGCATAAGGTATTCTGCAACGAGTAGAGGAGTGGAGAACTCTTCTTGTGAAATATTTCTGGACTTTCTCAACTGTATTAATATCAGATACATAATGCAGGTTCCAGACTGATGAGCTGTATTAAAGTATTGGTCGAACAAATGTTTTGTATGCTCTAGTTAGTAGTGTGATATTACCATAGAAAAAGCTACGTAGGATTAGGTTAACAACTCTTAATGCCTTTTTTGGCTATGTAGTTACAGTAGGCTCTAGCACTTAGATCATTAGAAATGAGTATTCCAAGGTCCTTGACAGAGTTTGGATCATCAACAAGGTCTTGACTAGTCAGCTTGTATTTTATTTTCTGATTTTTTTTTTTGCCAATATGTAAGACAGAGGATTTATTTGTTAAGATTTGAAGTTGCCATTTGTTTGACCATTCTGATACATAGTCGAGATCTTTCTGAAGGGTAGCAGTATTGTCTGTGGTGTTGAAAAGCTTTACATCATCAGTGAAGAGAAGACAGTTGCTCTTAATATGATCACAGAGGTCATTTATGTAGAGTATGAAGAGAGTTGGTCCCCACTGCCTTGGGGGATACCACTATTAACGGGCACAGAATTTGATAGGACACTCCCAATTTTGACCATTTGTTGTCTGTTTGACCGGAATGCTTCTATCCAGTTATTCAGTCGTCCAGAGATACCATAAGATTTTAGTTTTAGAAGTAGTTTGTTGTGTACCACTGAATCAAAGGCTCTACAGAAGTCTATGTAGATTGCATCTATTGCTTTGCCCTGATCGAGTTGTGTAGTCCATATGTTTTTGCAGTGTAAGAGTTGCAGATTACAGGATAGTTTTTTTCCGAAACCAAATTTGTTTATTAGAGAGTAGGTTGTTTATCTCTAAATGGAGGATAATGGATTGGTTAATAATTGATTCCATGACTTTACAGGTGACGCTGTAATTTTCAACTAGGCTGGAGTTTCCCTTTTTGAAGATGGGGATGACCATGGCTTGTGACCATAGGTTTGGCAAGGAGCTGGTCCTGAAAGATTTTTCAAAGATTATGCTTAGAGGTTCTGCTATGGCAGTGGATAACTTTTTTAAGAAGTAGACACATATTCCATCCGGTCCAATAGATAGAGATGATTTTAGATTGCGTAGTGTTTTTTCAACATTGCTTCTGTAAAATCGATATGTATTAGATCATTGTAGTTGTCTGTGGTTTGATTAGGAAATACTGGGCATGATCCATTGTTGTTTACAAATACTAAGCCAAAGAATGTGTTAAAGAGTTGGCTTTAATGGTGTCATCGTTGCAGTCTTTACCATTAGGTCCTTTCAGGGGTGGGATGGACCTTGAATCTTTTAGTTTGCTGTTTACAAAATTATAGAAAACACGGGTGGAATTGGTGCGTAGAAGGTTTTCCTCTTGTTTTATGTGATAATTGGTGCATTCAGTCTTTATCTGGTGGCATAAATTTTTGTATCGGCTTTTGAAGTTGGCAATGTGACCAGATTCTGACAACTGCGATTGGCATCTTCAGGGGAAAGTGATCTGCTTAGGCAGACCACAGGCAAATGTGGGGGGGGGGGGGTCCCTAGACCAGGGGGCTCCAACCTTGGCAACTTTAAGACTTCTGGACTTCTGTTGAAAGGTGTCAAAATGCCTTTCTTTTGAGGATTCGATTTTCCCGCTGGGAGAGCTCTGGTGCAAAGATACGGACAACTGCTTGAAAGCTGGATCTTTTTATTTTTCAGGAAGGCGGAGAACAGCGAGAAGTCTGCGTTCCTGGGCTAGCTAGCTTCCCATGGTAAGTCCCTGGTTTTTTATACCCTTTTCTCCCTTCGTAAGTTGATTTTGTGTGAATGTTTGTATTTGTGCCTAATGTTTCAAATCCTGTGTGAGTTTGTCTATTTCCGCCGGAGGGCAAACTCCGCGGGGTGGCCAGATTGTATTATTGGTTTTCTGTAATCTCTTTTAGCTTTAAGATAGTTTTTCATATTTATTCTGTGGCAATCTCCTGTCTGTCCTTTTTGTAATTTATATTTTGTGTCTTTTGTCTGTTTGTTTTGCTTATTTGGTATGTCCTGTGTTTGTAGGGGTTTTCTAAATTATCTTTTGTTTCCTTTTCCTATTTGTCTAGTTTTCTTAATTACTTAGGCTTTTGTCTAAAGGGATTCTTTAATACTTTTTATTTGATTCCTTTTCCTATGTAAGTTTGTTTTCTGGCTGACCTGATATTCCCCTTGGGCTTTTCCTGTTTTTGTGACACTACTGTCTTCTTTCCACACTTCAAAGCTGGCTGAGAAGCTCTGGGAGTTGAAGTCCACAAGTCTTAAAGTTGCCAAGGTTGGAGACCCCTGCACTAGACTGTTATCTTTATGGCCAGGTGTCTTGACTCATGACTGGCATAAGCTTTTGTCATCTGCAGCTCCCTTCGTCAGCAACCTTTTTACCAAACTTGTTTCCCCCACTCTGCCTTTACCCCATTTTAAATCCTACAGCCTTCTAACCTTCTGAGGTGGGTAAAATGAGAACCCAGATTGGGCAATATGCTGACTCTGTAAACTGCTTAGAGGGGGCTGTAAAGCACTATAAAGTGGTATATATATGTCTAAGTGTTATTGCTTATGCTGATGAAGAGAGCTGCAGATCATGAAAGCTTATGTTTTTTAATTAAATGGGTCGATCAGAAAAGATGTTAGCAGGCTCTTCCGTTTTTTGTTTTTTTTTTTGCTAACATAAACCAGGATGGCTTTTCTCCTATATAGGCTAGTGTGGGAATCCCAAAAGTGCTTTTTCAAAAGGCAGATGGGTTTTGGTTTTTTCTTCTTTCTTTGAGGACGTTTTGCTTTTCATCCAAGAAGCTTCTTTAGGGGGAAAAAACAAAGTCCAGTTGCCTTTTGAACAAGCGCTGGTTGTGAAGACCATGACCTGGATGACTGAGAATCTCCATAGACATTTAGTGGGAAATTGGAAAAAAAAGAAAAACCCAAAGGCAAATCGTTTTCATACTTGGAAAAAATATGAATCTATCCATAAAAGCATAAGGAGTGTCAAAAGGCAATTACTTCTATGATATTAAAAAACTACGTTTCCCAAGGTGCCTTGTGTTTTGGGCGGAAGTTAGAAACAGTAGAGAGAAGAGGGTTTTTTTTTTTCTTTAATCCTTCCCGACGGCGGGAACGGGACTTGAACGAGGGAGGTTATCCCGGATTCCTCTGCTTCCCCGTCTACTTCTGGCCTCGGTTTAATCCTTGTTGGTGGCCGTCAGCGGACCGCGATGGTTCGGGGACAGGAGCGAGTGGTGGCGTTGGCGGATATGGACTGTTTCTACATACAGGTGGAGCGACGGCTGGATCCCCGTCTGCATGGAAAGCCGTGTGTCGTGGTGCAGTATAAGACGTGGAAAGGTGGCGGGTAGGAAGCTCCCCTCCTCTCCTTGTGTAGACTGGGAAGAAAATGAAGTGTTAGATAATCGAGGCGAAGGAATGACTCGCTTCAGAAAACAAACGAGCCGTGTTTTCTTCCGGCATCGTTAAAAGCACCACAAAGAAACTGCAACTTCGCGGAGACACGTTTTAAGCTAATTCTACTTTTCTTTGAGCCAGTTTGGTGTGACGAGCTTATAAGCCGACTGGGTGACCTTGCGCCTGTCTCTCTCAACCTAAGAAAGAGGGTAGGATTTGTGAAATCTTGCCAAGAAAACTCCAGGGACTAATCCAGGCAGCCAAACCAAGAGCCCAACCCCCCCCCCCACACACACCCTAATTCAAGGACACACACACGCAAAAGTCTTCCTTCTGTTAACAAGCATATTATTTACAATAGGGGGGGGGAAAGCCTGATGACTCCAGTATTTTGCTTTCCATATATATCTAGATTAAATAATGTGTTTGTAGGAAGGGTTATTTCTTTCAACATGTTCATAAACGGTAATGGGAGAAAATGCATGTTTCATGTACACATGTTTTTTTTATTTCTGGACCAGCTTCTGTAGTGTCCTCATTTAAATATGTCTTTCTCAGATTGCTTCTCTAAAATTTGTCTGGTCCTTTTCTTTTGTGTTTTATATATAGAATCCTTGAATAGGATACTTTTTGCTCAGCCTGGGCCAAAGTATGTATTTTTAACCTGAGGGGGTGGGTGGGTGGGAACAACCCTACCACTAATTCAGCAGCTGTCAATTACCACAGGCTCATAGCCTCTCAATATCTTCTGAAAATCTTTAGGGATGAATGTTCCCTCAAAATGACTAAATATTCTATGTTCAAGAAGAAAATTCTGAGTTGCATTCAATCTGTAGGTGATATTGCAAAACCCGCTCTTATCTAAATGCTAAACTGGGGGAAATGATCATTTTTTTCCTTCATGTAATAGCTAATATATTTCCCCTTCATGGAATTCAGGATAATTGCTGTGAGCTATGAAGCCCGTGCTTTTGGAGTTAAAAGAAACATGTGGGCTGCTGATGCCAAGAAGTTGTGCCCAGATCTCGAATTGGCTAGAGTGCCCGAGGCCCGTGGCAAAGCAGACCTCACCAGGTAAACCTGCGATTGATAGCTTTACGATTGATAGCTTTACAGTTACTTTTCTCTCCCCCGCTCCCCTTTGGGTGATTGTGAAACCATCTGAAGCAACATCAAAAAATGTCTCAGTATGGTTCTTAATCACAGCTGCTTTTCGGTGAATTTTCTGCTTTTGGCACTTGTGTTTGTTTTCTAAACAGTTTAAAGAAATATGTTAGGCTGCCTTGTAAAAACTGGATGCAGTACATTCAGTTTATTCTTTAAAAAATATAATCCTATGATAACAGTATTCAGGACAGTGATATAATAGTAGCACTAGGAATGAATTAAAGGAATTTCTGCGTGTATGTGTATGTGTAGGGAATGGGACAGGGTTTTACCTCTTTTTTTAAAGTATTTAAAGTCTGAAGTTTTGCATATCTCATTTTCTATTCATTTTAGTACTTATTGGAAATAATAGAACTACAACAAACCATGAATAGTTTTTTGCTGAATTTTAATGTATAATTTCAGAGTTTCAGAAGCTATACAAAAACAAGGGGATGAAGAGGTTTTTATGTAAGTTGTCAAATTCTGCATTATGAAAGGGCAGGATAAACAGAAATATCAAAATTCATTTGGTATCTTCATGTAGATATAGAGAAGCCAGCATAGAGGTGATGGAAGTGATGTCACGTTTTGCTGTGATTGAACGTGCCAGCATCGATGAAGCTTATCTGGACTTAACACAAGCTGTACAAGAAAGGCTGAAGAAGATGAAAGGTCAACATATTCCAGTAGAGCAGTTGGGAACTACTTATATTCAAGGATTCCCAAATAACCCTGAAGAAGAAGAAAATACTGACAACAAAGGTAGAGTGTGTGTGGGAGGAACGAGGGGTGGAGAGGGAGAGAGACTCCATACTAATGTTCAGTCCAGTTATGTTTTCTGGAGAATTGGATAGCATTTGGAATCAGATTGGATTCTCTCCCCCAACTGCATTAACTTGATCTTCTGTGATTTTGCTGTTAGGGATGAGTTGAGATTGTCATATTGAAGCTGGAAAAACTTTCAATGCTAATTATTCTTATTATCTAAACTAAAATATAGGAAATCAAAGACTGGTTTCCAACATTTCTTGTTTACCTTTGGAACTAAAAGATTCATCCATGCCTGCTTTTCTCACTTAAAAGTTTAGCTCACTGTGATGTGTTCGAGTTCCATAAAGATAGAATACCAACACAAAATGCTCGTTCTGTGTGCTGACTCTCTAGGCCTGTGGTCTCTTTTACATATATATACAATTCCAGCAAGGCTTGTTTGGTCCAACTTTGGGGACTTTTCTGACATCTATTTTTAGGAACCATGCTCTGATATATATTCTTCAAACTTTTATAATGATATTTTTTTATATGTTATGTAAACTGAAATCTTCCTGAGCAAACCTTTATGCCATTCGGTCTACTTTGAATGGATCTCATATGCTCCAGCCACCCAAATGCATTGTGTAAAATTATAAATTATTATTGTACCATGGCACTATATCATGAGTGACATTAAGATGCTAAAAACAGGTTTTTGGTATATTGGTATGTGGTTCATTAATGAATATGGTTATAAATGGTTAACAGTCTAGCAAGATGCTTACTTTGAATTGGTTTGTGTTCCTTTGTAGAGGAGATAAGACAACGTGGTGTGTGCCAGTGGCTCACGTCACTGCCTTTTGGAGATCCCAGCAATCCAGAATTGCAGCTGACAGTAGGGGCAGTGATCATGGAAGAAATGAGGGCTGCTGTGGAGTCTGTCACTGGATTTCAATGTTCTGTTGGAATTTCTCACAATAAGGTATTGCTGCTTGTTTTCTAATGTTCAACTCAGTGCTACTCAGTACATACAACTCTTGATTGGTCTATGTCAAAATCTGTATCCAATGAATGCCAGAAATATAAAAGAGAGAAAAAGGAAAGGAAAAACCTTGAAGCACTTGGGAACATTCTGTTTGATAATATTGAGGGGAAGCTATTTCAGTCAGTCAGAATAGAGTTGGAAGGGACCTTCGAGGTCTTTTAGTCCAGCCTCCTATACAATTTCAGACCAGTAACTGTCCAGTCTCTTCTTAAAAACCTCCAGGGATGAAGCACCCAGAACTTCTGAAGGCAAGCTGTTCCACTGGTTAATTGTTCTCACTGTTCGGAAGTTTCTCCTTAATTCCAAGTTGCTTCTCTTCTTGATTAGTTTCCATCCGTTGTTTCTTATCCTGCCCTCTGGTGTTTTGGAAAATAAGTTGACCGTCCTCTTTGTGGCAGCCTCTCAAATACTGGAATACTGTTATCATATCACCCCTAGTCCTTCTTTTCTCTAAACTAGCCAAACTCAAATCCTGCAGCCGTTCTTCATATGTTTTAATCTCCAGGCCTTTAATCATCTTAGTTGCTCTTCTCTGCACTTTTTCCAAAGTCTCAACATCTTTTTTGTAATGTCACCAAAACTGGATGCAGTATTCTAGATGTGGCCTTACTAAGGCTTCATGAAGTGGTACTAATACTTCATGTGATTTTAATTTTATGCTTTTGTATGGGTTAAAGAATTTCTGTTGTTGTTATGTCCGAAAATATGCTTATAAGAATAGAATAGAACCAGAACAGAATATAATTCTTTATTGGCCAAGTGTGACTGGACACACAAGGAGTTTGTCTCTGGTACATAAGCTCTCATTGTACATACAAGCAACAAGTGATAAATCATGATCATAAAATATGTTCATCATAAATCATAAGATATAACATTCGGTGATAACTATAGGATACTAAATAAGCAATCAACATAAATCATACTAGGATTTGAAATAAAAAAATGTAAATCATAAAATACAAGCAGCAAAGTTGTCATAAGAAGATAAGGAAATAAGTAATAGGAAATAGAAGAAGGATAATAGTAATACAGCCCTACCAGATAGTTTGATAGTGTTGTGGGAATTAGTTGTTTAGCAGAGTGATGGCATGGGCGGCGGGGAACTGTCCTTGTGTCTAATTGTTTGGGTGTGCAATGCCCTATAGTGTTGAATAGAACTGAGGGAAGAAGTTGAAACAGTTTATGTCCAGGATGTGAGGGGTCTGTAGATTTTTGCACAGCCCTCTTTCTGGCTCATACAGTATACAGATCCTCAGTGGAAGGCAGACTGGTAGCAATTGGTTTTTTTCTGCAGTTCTAACTATCTGTTGAAGTCTGTGTCTGTCTTGTTTGCTTGCAGTGCAGGGAGAAGGAAGTCTTATTTATTAACTTGGCATTTAGCTACAACACCTACAGGTCAAAGGGTAAGCTAATATGATTACCATAGTCCACCTAAGTAACAAAAGGAGGAGGGAACTGGCTCAAGTTATTTCATCTCTGTTCTTCATAACCTGACCTGTTATTTTCCCCAAAAGATACTTCCACCTGCCTATCTAACAGAAGTCACCTTATCCTTTCCCTTATATAATTGCAGGAATATCCTAAACTCTTATAAAGAAAGTAATGCGGTTAGTCAAGTCTGAAGTGGCATCCCCTATGAGATGAATATTCTGCTATCTGCTCTGGGTTAGTCTTATTTCAAAGACTTTTGGGACAAACTGGAATAAGTACCCACAAAGTGGAACAATTCTATTCTGGACCCAAAGGCAAGCTGCCCAAGTTGAAGCAAATGCATTATTCTCCAGACTCCTTACACTGCTGTGAACGTGTCATTCTATCTAGGTTTGCTTTAAAATTTTTTGTAATTTTATAAATCCTGGTATTAAGAATGAATACAGTTCTATTGGGTGTTTTGCCCCAGGATGAAATAAATGCAAATAACAGATAAGAATAAAAACGAGGGGAAACATATGAGAATTTATATTTTTGGATCAAATATAATTTCCTTTTGGTTAAGTAAGTTAAATCTGTCATTGTGTCCTTGAAATTCCACAATATAGTGACTGTATATAATTTTGAGTAGTTGTATTTGCACTATGTCTTATATTTTGATTTCTTTTGTTCTAAAAATTGAATTTAGGAAATTGAAAAGCCACTGTTGCTAAACTAGCCATTTGGTTCATTTCAGGTATTAGCAAAACTGGCCTGTGGCCTCAACAAACCAAATCGACAGACTCTGGTATCACAAGGGGCTGTTCCTCAGCTCTTTAGCAACATGCCAATTGGCAACATGTACGTAAAACTGAGGATATAGCTATGAATTTCAAAGTTATCCTTTTCTCCTGCATGTTATTACTTAAGCATATTTGTGCTTGCTTCCTATTAGTATAGGCAGAAGCGACTTATTCATTACTGTTTCTGTCCTCATGCTTTTGCCATTCATCAAATAACGCAAATCCTGCAGTCCTTCCCTCTTTGGGTGATTACCTGAATACTTTTGCTGATTAGTACCTGGATCTAGTATCTTTTCTTTCTCCATCCAGTTGGTTTCTTTTTCTCTTGTAGTCGCAACCTTGGAGGGAAACTAGGTGCTTCTATTACTGAATGTCTTGGAGTGCAATATATGGGAGAGCTGATCCAGTTCACTGAATCACAGCTTCAGACACATTTTGGAGAGAAGACTGGGCAAGTCACTTTTGAAATTTTGGATTCCATGTGTTTTCTTTTTATAGTATATTCTAATTAATTCTTTTGCTTATTAATTTATTTGAAGGGAAAATAGACATTTTGGGAAACAATGAGAAACAAATGCAGTACTGTACAAAATATGCTATATTTTGAAAGGGGTTTTTTCAGTTTAAAAAAATCAGCCAAATATGATAACAAATAAATCATAAGACTAGTTGATACAGTGTGGGACTAACTCTTTGTAGTGCTGTTTGGATTGACAAGTGGGATATTCAAAGAATGAGTGGCAAGTGAAATCTTCCTGTAATAGCTTCCAGCTAATACAGCAATGCATTGGATTATATTCTCAACTTCCCTCCAGCCACAAGTATTGATCTTTTGGAGTAATCTTTTTATGTTTTTTACATGATATCTAATTTGGTCTTCTGTTTTTACTTTACTGAGCTCAGGGTAGAATTCATAGATGTCTTAAGAGACAATAAATACAAATGGTAATATAGTAATGTAATGTAAGTAACATAGTAATGTGAAACAGTAATAGTAATGTAAAACAGATGGGCAGAGGTGGATCTTTGGGTGGCCAGTGTTACTTTTGGTTTGTAATACCCCACAAAACACAAAAAGTGGTGTGGAGACAACACCAATAAGACCGAAGAGCTTATAATGGACTATAGAAGGAACAGATCAGACATCCAGCCCTTGCTTATCAATGGAGACTGAGTGGAGCAAGTGGCCAGTTTTAAGTTTCTGGGTGTTACCATAAAGGAGGACCTGACCTAGGATGCTCACATTGCAGCACTGGTCAAAAGGGCCCAGCAGAGATTATACTACCTGAGACTTCTCAGAAAACAACAAGTGAATGGAAAACTGCTGGTGATCTTCTACCGCTGCACCATAGAGAGTATCTTAACTTATTACAACTCTATATGGTTTGCCAATTGCACAGTGGCAAATAGGACGGCACTCCAGAGGGTTAATGTCATTGCCCAAAAGATCATTGGATGCCCTCTCCCCTCTTTGGAAGAGCTTTATAGCTCTCGCTGCCTTAAGAAAGTTCAAAACATTCTCAAAGATCCATCTCATCCTGGGAACCCTTTTTTTGAACTATTACCATCTGCCAGAATAATAAAAATAAGGACAGATAGGTTGAAAAACAGCTTCTATCCCAGGGCAGTAGCTCTTTTGAATTCTACTGTATAGTGTAGTGTTGGTGCGGTATTGGGGGTTTTGGTTCAATATGTGGAGTGTGAAGGATGTGTGCTTGTGTTTATTTTCATGGTCATGATGTGCACCGAAGATGGTGTTTGATTTCATTGTACGAGGTGCAATGACAATAAAGAAAACTAAACTAAACTAAGTATGATTCTCAGTGTTTCAACAATAGGAGCAGTAACTCAGGAGATTTGTGGATGTAAAAATGTAGATACATATAATCTATTTGGATACTGAAAACTAAGTCCTGTGTCAAAGACTCCATGTTCCTTAATTCTCTATCTGCCTTTTTGAATCATTATTTTGCACCAGTTGGTGAACTTTGGGGTCTACTGAGCAAAATGTGGCTTTATTGAAAATATATAAATGGTACTTAAATAAAGGTTCCTTAAATTATCCATTTTGGAATCCTTTATTTTAAATTGATGCAACTTCCAAATATTTTGGATAATTAAACAAATAACAACATAAACCAATGATTAGTCACAAACATTATTATTTACTTGGAGTTCTATGTATGATTTCCAGATCCTGGCTATATGAACTGTGCAGAGGAATTGATTTTGAGCCTGTGAAAGCTAGACAATTGCCAAAGTCCATTGGTTGCAGTAAGAATTTCCCTGGAAAAACAGCATTGGTTACTCAGAAACAGGTAAAAAAATGCAGCGAGAATAGCATATGATTTGAACTGGCAAATGTTGAGCCAATTGGAATACATTTTGCAAAATTTGTATAGATTTATTGATTCTAGTGCAAACTATATAGAAATATTCACAGCCAACCAACTGCCTTCTCATTAACTGGAGTGTGATCTATTATCCTGCTGTTTTAGGGAGTCTGTATATTCAGATTAGTAGTAAGGAGGTAAACACAGAATGTCAATTTAGAATAGCAAATAGCTCATATGCTACCGTAGTGCATGGGTAAATATAATTTGCTGTTGGAGGAAGGGGCATAAGACCCGCACCCTTGGAATCATTGCACTTAGGTCTTCAGCAATCAATAAAGAGGCTGCTTTGTATTTTGGTACTTTTCCAACTGCAAAAATTATTTGATATTGATTTTGTATTGTTGTTATGAACCTATGTATTAATATATTCTGGTTCTGATTTTGAAGATACAGAAATCTGACCATTTGAGAAAGGAAGATTTTCTTTTAATTTGATTTAATTAGCAGCATACTAACCATAGTCCTAAGATTTGTAACTGTATTGTAATCTGTCTGAAGGTGCAGTATTGGCTCTTGCAGTTGGCCTTGGAGCTGGAAGAGAGATTGAATAAGGATAAAGACCAGGTAGGTATAATGCTATCTAACCAATATATAAGTGTATAGTACTGAAAAATATATGGGAGAACACCTTTTGCTATTTGATGGGATTTGACCTGTTTAATTCAGGGCTTTCTCAGAAATATTTTGCTGCAGAATTGACTACCATGATCTTGAGTAGAATTTCTGGTGATAAATAAATAGATGTCTGCTCTGAAGAGTCAAAATGGTGAAAAAAATTCAGTGGGATGGGCAAGGTAGAAACAAAAGATTGGGGACAAAAAAGATGATCATTTAAAAAGCCCGTTGAGGCCATTTTTTCCTAAGTCTTTGTTTCTTTGTACTCAGAGTTCCCTGTTTCTTAATTCATTGTCTATTTCTTAATTCAATTAATCCATTCATTAATGGATGCATTCTACTGCCTCTTGGCCCAGATGGAAGAAAGGAAAATAGAACTAAGAGTGAGTTGGGAAGGAGCTACAGCCACAAACTGTAGAAGTCTTAGGCCTGCTTTTCTACTGGGATAAAGTTTTAACCCTTTTCTGTTGGCTACATCTTCAGTGATGAAAAAATTCAGGGGCTTCATATCTCAAGTATCTCTTGTTATGATCTTTTATGGAACTATTTCCATCATTTATTTAATATATTTATTTTTCCACAGAACAACCGGCTCGCTAAACAGTTGACTGTTGGGATCCATATGCAGGGTGGTAAACATACCAATCTAACGCGCTGCTGTGCCTTGTCCCAGTATGATGCTCAAAAAATTAGCAGAGACGCCTTTGCACTAATCCAGAACTGTAACACAGCAGCAGGCCAGCAAGCGACATGGTAAGAATTTTACTTCTTGAATGTAAGAATAAGCTACTTTGGAGGGGGAAAATGGTTCTTATCCTTGATGTTTAAATTTTGTTGTGTGCAGTAAGCATTAGGAGATGAAATATAATAATAGAATGAGATGAGTAGAAACTTTTTTTCTTTGAAAAATAAGGGTTACCCAACATATACTGGCTCTTCAACCAAAGCACATTAGAAGATTCTGTGCAAGATGTTGGCAAAGGAGCTAGTGGTATAGTGTGAGAAGGAAAATTTGCATTAAAAATGGGACAGAGTAAAATTTAGAGTGCTAGTTATCAGAAATCAGCTGTGTATCTTGCTTGGGTAGTTAATTTTGGATTAAAGAAAGAAAAATCTTGAAGTACTAGAAGGAAGAGTAAACAGAAAGAATAACCTGGGGACAAATACTTCCATGCTTAGAGAAGTCAAATTACTGGAAAAATTATAATCCAGTTTAGTTTTGAGTGTGTTTTTCTTTTGAACTGCTTGATAATTTGCTTCTATCATTAGGACTCCTCCTGTTACACTTCTTCAGCTCTGTGTAAGCAAGTTTTCTGAGGTCCCTACACTATCGTCTGTGGACATTACTTCCTTCCTGACCAATGATAGCCAACGTACTCAACACACCAGTACGATTAAAGAAAGCATGAGTGCAAAGTTTCTTGAAAGTCCCAAAAAGGAGACCAGTAAGAAGGCAGTTAATACTATTGAAACACTCTTTCAAAGGGCAGCAAAAAGAAAACAAGGCCGGGCTATTGCTGGGTGTTTTGTTCCTGATGTAAGTGATATGATAGTACCAACAGCTACTCAGACCAAGAGTTCTCACAACAGCAGCCAAGTTTCAGAAGGCTTAATGGAACCAAGCAACCCAAACATGATGGGCGAACAGCAGTTGATGGAACCTTTGCAAGAGGCCACTTTGACTGGTGAAGGTTGTGTGTCATCTTCAGAAATGAAAATGCTTCCTGATTCATTTAAAGAAGAAAACGTGCAGGCTGCTCCTGGACTTTTGCAGGAAGGAGGAGCTATGAGTTTGGCTGATCCCTCCTCAATGGATGACTGCTTGTTATGTGAGAAATGTAACCAAAAAGTGGCAGTCTGGGAGTTCGCTGAACACTTAGATTACCACTTTGCTGTGGAACTGCAGAATTCTTTCTTGGGATCTAACTCCTTCAGATCAGCTGAATCTCTTGACAATCCAGTGAAGGAAAAAAATAAATCAAGGGAACAGAAAACCACCAGTGCCAAACGACCAAAGCAAGATGGAACTAGGACTTTAGATTTCTTTTTTAAACCATTGCCACCATAGTTGCTCACTTGAGTAACTTGTGACTTAGAAAATGTACTTTCACTAATAAACTAATCCTAATAAATTGTTCCTTAAAAGACCTAATCTTTCTGGGAGCTAATGAATGAGGATAAAAATCTGTAATCAAAGGTATGCTATCTGCAGGGCCTTCTGTTACTTTTTATTCAAGGGTCTTCAGACTTGGCAAGTTTAAGACGTAGACTTCAACTCTCAGAATTCCTGAGCTAACATGACTGGAGGAGTAATTTTAAGAGTTGAAGTCCACCAGTCTTAAAGCTGTCAAGTTTGAAGTCCCCTGCTTTATTTGACAAGATGACAATGGACAATGTGACAGTTAGATTGTGTTCTGCTAATAGTTCTGTAGTTGTCCTATGACTAGTTTTAAAACAGAGGAGGAATTCATCTACTATCACTCTATCATGTTGAAGATTTGCTTATTTCAGAAGTCTTGCATTCATGTAGGGGTTCTAAAAGCCCGACTACAGTCAAGATAACAATGAGTGAAAATCATAAGAAACCTTGATATCAGATAGCACAGAATTTTGAATTTGATTTTAAGACGGGAGAAAAATCTACACTTCCCACAGATGGTGGATTACAACTTCTAGCATCCTTTCCTATTGGTTCTGCTAGCTAGATTGATAGCATTGAGGAGCCCACAACCTTTGGAAAACAATACTTCAGTTCTCATTCTTGTTTTTTTTTTTTAATTTCTTAAGAACCTTGCCATATATTTGAATGCTTCTTTTTCTAAATTTGTGTAAAAAAAAGTCTGTAATATACTTTTCTATTTTATTTGTTTGACTCTAGGCATTTCTCAGTAACAATATTGTCTCTTCTGGGAGTAGAATTCTATATTGTTTAGGTCAAGCATTCTTTTAGTAAATGAAACTCTTATGCTAAGTCAACCTTGTGGTTTCAAAATGCTAAAGCATACCGTGTTTCTCATATAATAAGGCCGGGTCTTATTTTTTTTTGAGCCCTGAAAAAATGGCTAGGCCGTCTTTTCGGGGGTGACTTAATTCCGCCCCCTGCATCTTCAGGCAGGCAGCAATGGCTTGGATGTTGACCTCGGCATTGGTGGGGCACTTCATATTGGGGTCAACGCAGGCAGCACCATATCCGGGTGTGCAACAAAAGTACTTCCTAATGGCAAGCCCCCCCACCATTCTCCCCCCCCATTTCGCATGTTTTAATATAGGTCTTAATTTGGGGGGAGGGGCTTAATTTCATTTCATGCCTATAAAACATGTTGGGACTTCCTATTAGGGGAGGCCGTATTGTTGGAGAAACAGGGTAATATAAATAGGAATTTTTTTGTGCAACATGATGCACCATCCAAGAAAAATATATTTAAATTAACTGCCCAACTCCCAATGGCCTTTATTTTTGCAAGAAATCATTCTTCAAAGCCAAACAGTAAAAAACAGCCCAATGAAGGAAGCACCAAGACCACTTTCACCAACACTGACAGGGTAAGCTACTAGTGTATAAAATCAGAGCAAATCCACTCCATACTAGTACTGATGTTACCTAGTTTGGTAATGAAACATCTGCAAGAAAACAACCTAGTTCAGAGAGCACCAAGGACTCCACAGTTCAACCCTCAGCTACAAATTTTCTCTTCTTTTTATCTATGACAAAATTGCACAATGGGATAATCTTAATTTAATTAAAAATAATTTACTATTGGATAAATAATCTCTCATTATTTTGGATCTACTCATTTGGAAGAAGCTGTTTATAGCCTTTGCAGTATTTATTTTGGTATATCTTAGAATACCTCTTGGCATTACAATATATGCAACTTAAGTATTTGTTATTTATTTGAATCTTGATCTGTTAACACTGCAGTTGTCAGAAGAGCTGAAGAATCATTTGTGGCCCCTAAACCAGTAATCCTTTGTATGAAGTTGAAGGAAATTGGTGAAATTTATATTATTTATATGATCTTTGGAATGCATGCTTAAATGTCCTATCCTATCAATCTGTGGAGAGTTGCATTAAATGTAAAATTAACCACCTATAATCTTAAAATGAATGTAGTGCATTGAAAATTTGCTGTTTCTATGAGATGCCTCAAATAAAATTTAGCAAGGATTGGTCAGCTTTCCTGCTGATGGATATATAATTTAGGGATTGGAGCATTTTCCCACAAGGTTTGCTCTTGTCCTATTGTCCTGATGACAACTTTGGGTTAATCATATGTTAAATACACATATATGCTTCTTTGGCATATTTCATTATTTGAAATCTAGAAAAAATTGTGAAAATTTTGGGCATGGAAATTGGTTAAATGAATTTAGAGTAAGGAGAAATCTATATCGGCCTTGCAAAATTGCTTGGCTATATTTTTTAAAAAGGGGGCAAGGAATACTATCAAGCAATATTATCAAAATTATTTGAATTGTTTATGACATAATTTTCTGATCCTTATGTATTCGTGTATTACTTTATTACTCATTACTATGCTTATGAATTTTAAAATATATTGTTCTTTTAATGCTTAAGTATGCATTTGTTTCTTTTTGTTTAGTTTAGCAAAATAAAACTTATCGCTTCCAGATACAATTCGGATTTCTATTATTTATGAAGTTTACACAGCATAAAGCCCTGGTTACTAGAGGACTACCCTACTCCCACAGCGTCTATCCAGCTGATTTGAAACTACCAATTCCCTTTTATTAATATCGTAGTCTCCATTGGGATCCCAGAAGCACACCTTCTCTGTAGCAGTACCTGTTTTCCGGAATGAGATCTCTTCTACCTGGAGTTCCATGCTGTTGTTTAAAAGGGCTAGAAAACCTGGCTCTTTGCTGAACAGTTTGGCCAGGGAGAGTGAAAACATCTGTCTACTTTTTTAATTTTTATTTTACTGGTTATTGTTGTATTTGTGAACCACCGTGTGTGTTTGTGTGTGCGCACGCATAATGTGTAAGCTTGAAGTTTCAATAGGAATTACCAACTGCTTTGTAATACTGCTTCATTCTATTGCACTTAAGAACAGGAACTAATATAATGTAGCTGATGTTGCATAACAACAATTGCAGCACCAACAAATGGGTTAAATAAAAAATCCTCTCACAATTAGGGGTGTCAGTTATTAGAATAAAGTAACAAGACATATGATTAATAATATATTAATCCAGTATTTATAAACTGGTCTTGAACTTTGTTAGTGAAAGATTTTTTGCTTTTGTAAGTGACCTCAAATATCATTTAGTGTATTTAAGGCATTGAATCTATATCCCAAACTCTCATTATGAAATGCTTAGCACATACTGTATTTGGTAATGTCAGATAAGCATATACTAGCTTGCAAACATGACTGTACAAACATCTGAAACTAACAAAGTCCCGGCAGGATAAGAACATTTTTTTACAGAGCTAAAAACTATTAAAGGTACAGAGTAAATTACGCAGTACATTTAGAGCAAACCACAGCTTTGTTTTTTCAATAAAGCATCTTTAATTTGTGCATACAGAGAGATGAAAACATCCCTCTCCTTTTAAGAAATCACAAACAGTGAATATGAAAGGCTTGGCACTGAGAACACATACACACAATAAAAGGCAAGGGAAGGCGGAGACCAGGAAATGCCTGGACTTGAGGGTAGAAAAAGCACCTTGAATGTTTACATTTGCAATGGGTCAACTTAACCATCACTGTAAACTGCAGAGAAAGCATATATTCCTACTACAGGACAAAATCCGAAGGTAGAAAGCCAGCTTTTCAAAATGCTTGTGTGTAATTAAGAGGAACTTCAAAAGAAAAACTGCTTGTCAACAAATAGCCATGATACTTAGCAACTATTTATTGGACTATTGGAAGGATTTTCTTTTCTCCAGGGAGGTGAGTAAAGGCTTTTCTTAAAAGGCTATATTAAATAAAAATCTTTCTATATACAAAGACTTAATAGTAACATGTTATATTCTGGGAACAGTTGCTCTGAATAATCTAATCTCTGTACAACAGAGATGAAACAGCAGAATGGGGAATCGAGTGGAAGGATAAAAAGTCATGTTTTACTGGCCATGTTAGCTCATTTATTCGAGCCCTTGATGCAATAGTGGTCAAAACATACAATAAAAACATCGCAAACTTTAAAAATCTTAATAAAAAAACGAAGGTATCTGTCACTGTCTGATACCATTCTATCTGATGACCATTTCAGAAATTCAGCTATACTTTCAATAAGTTGCAGATTTAATCTTTAGGTATAAAGGCGATTTTCTGCAAAAGATACTAGAGTAATACAAATGATAGCAGATGGCAAAGCTGAATAAGAGAATTAGAATTGCGGGAGTGTTCCCAATATTGCAACAGCTAGAACAGCCTTAACTGGTATGGCCATTGGAAATAAAGATTCTTGCCCCAAGAAATAGGTTGGACCTGGATATCCATATCTCAGAAAAGTTAAGAATATCGAAAGATCTAGAAATCAAAATTGCCAGCCACCACTCACTTCAAGGAACAAGCAACATAGGGTCTGGTGGTATATTGGGGTACTCTGCTCTAAGAAGTTGTTTAGGTAGGGCACCTGCTGAGGAACAAACGGCTAATAAAGTGGCAGGGAAAACTGACAGTATCAAGAACTGAGCTGGAGAACTGTAGTTGCCATTAGATCAGGGCTATTTTAGAGCAAAGGATGGACAGCCTGTGTCCTACACATAGCTTTCCATTGCTCATGCTGGTGAAATTAGGTAGCGGAACCACCGGTTTTCAGTGGCAGGGCTTTTTAAAAAAATAATAATGATAAGTATAGCTGCATAAGGCCTCAGAGAAAATTATATGTATCCATTTACATAAAGGCCTCCATCCTCTTCTCCAGTTTAGGCAGAACATTTCGACCCATCTATTCTGGCAATGTCACTGCATTACCAGCTATGGATTCTGCAGCTGTTGGAGTGCCATTTAAAACAAAACACAAGACTTCATGGCCCCGTCATGAAATTGTTACCTACCCCTGCATTAGAGGGATTACTTCCTCCCGTATTCCCCCCTCCCTTTTTTAAGCTGATAAGGATTTGCACACAAAGGTGAAGGGGAGAAGAGAGACTCTTCATTACTGGCTTAATGTGAAACCAACAATAATTTAAAATGATTAGAAACATCCTGAGCTGTACTGTAGGCAGTACAGAACGTTAAGCTCTAGTTCCTAATAATAATAATTCATCTGCCATAGAAAGCCTGCAAAACCAGGCACGAGGACAACACTAATACCCTTCTGAACACAAACGAGTCCACCATTGTTGTCTCCCAGGCAGCACCCCCAAATTACAGTCCAACTCACTATGGATATGCCCCTCTCTGGAAATAACTTCCCCATAATGGTCAACAAAAGCGGGAGTTCGAACCTAGTCAAAGATGCAGCTGTTTGCTTGTCTATTCCAGGAAAAGCAGGAATATGGAAGTAGCAGGTGATGCACAAACAACAAGCTTAACTTGCTCCAGGAAGGGCACTCAGTCCAACAGGTAACTCTGGCTTCTGCAGTGCAGACAAGATGTGCCTAGGTAAACTGATTGGCCAACAACGGCTCTGCACAATGGCACGAGATCTTTCCCTTATTTGGAGCACTGAGAAATGCTGGTGTGAGTCAGAAGCTGACCAGATCAGGACACAGATTGTGTTCCAGGCCACTTTCTCCAGTGGTGATAGCCTGGATGGATGTGACATGTCCAATACCTTTGGTAACTCCTTCACGAAACAATAGTTTGGCTCCTATCTTCAAATATTCAGGATGTTTAATGAATCTGAAACGAACCACTGCCTTTTCTCCTGTTCGCAATTTGTCCTGAACAAAAGGAAAAGTATGTTAGAATTTTAAAAGTTGAATTACTTTTAGGGATTCCAGAAAACCATGGAAAGCAACTTAGCATACCCTCGAGTTTTTGCGGTGGGTTTATCTGTGAAAGCATCCCTTTGGAT